TGTTGAGTTCATATCATACTTTGCAGTTCACAATGTGAAATGTCCTCTGCTAGGCCCTGGGATTTGAGAGAAATGCTGTAATATATGGTCCCTCCCTCCAAAGGCTCCCAGCTTACCACTTGTTCCTGATTATTATGATATTTCCCCCATCAAAGAAGGGGCTTCCAGAGGAGAGATCTGAGAAGCAGATGTCCCAACTCCCCTTACAGCTGGTCTTGCTGCTGGAGTTTTACTTTCAGAGTCTCTTATCCTAAAGTCTCATATCCCAGGAATGCAGAGAAGACCCTCCTACAATAACTGCATTAGAGAGACAGGCTATGTGAAGTCATTCCTAACGGAGGCTCCTTCCTTCACAAGGGCTCTGAAGTGAGAGCCATCAGACAGAATCTCCTCACCTAACAACACTACCACAAACAGCTACATACAGATGTTTTCCAATGCATTGACTCATTGCCTCTCAAGGCAGTATCACAGAAGGTTGTCTCTAGTACTGCACACCCTAAACTTTAATGGGATTTTGGTGGTTTTTCAGTTACACGTGGTGTTGGAGGAGAGGCTGGGGATGATTGCTAGCTACGTTTAAAAAAAAGATAAACATTTGAGCACAGTGTTGAAGGCAACAGTTTCTTAGACAAGGTCATCATGTGAAAGAGGGGCTCCAAAGGAGGGGAAGTTGGCCCAGGGGCCCTGCCTTTAGAGAAAGCTGCTGGTAAATTCAAAATAACATATTATGCTATTTGTCCTTCAGTGAGCAAAATTGTAGCCTTGGCAGTAGTTCCCGCCTCCCTCAGGATGATGAATCCCAGCAGAGAAAACAAAAATAGATTGGAAGGAGGCCTTCTAGTCCAAGGGTGATGATACTTCTGAATTTCTTCAGACTCTGCAAATTCAGGTTTCATGACAAACGAGACTCCCAGATTTTCATTGAATTCAAAGTTGGAAGAACATTTCTCTCCCAATCTTTATAACCAAGAGGATTCCCATCAGAAATTCATAGCTGTTTCAAATGAAAAGAACCAAGAAACAAACAATTCTTTCAATTTTTCAGTCTAGTGATTCATATACTTTGGTATTATACAACACAGGCCCATTTTGGGTTCTAACTTTTTTTTTTAATTTTTACTTAGCAATGTTCATTGTATCTCAAGCAATGATACACTACGTACTTTAGAGCAACAGAATATACCATTTCCCTTTTTTAAAAAAATGTTCCCCTAACTGGGAGCATAATATAATAGAAAAACACAACCATATTTATTTTGTGTCCTCAAAACAGTGCTGTGAGATAAATTAGCAGTGTGTATTATTACACTCATTTTATAGAGACAGTGAATTTGATTGGGGTTGTAGTTATATTCCAGTGTGAACTTTGCCTTTTGGGCAAAATATTCCACTTCCCTGTACAACAGTCTTCTCATCAGTCAAATGGAGACAGTAACACTTTCCTTTTCTCCCTCAGAGGGTAAAGTAGAGGTGAAGAAAGGGATGGAAAAAAATGTGAACTGCTATGAAAGAAAGCCAGGATAATTGCATTTACTAATTTACTCTCTTTGTGGCAGAAGGGAAGAGAACAAACATTTATTATATCAACTATGTTGCCAGGTACTGTGCTAAGCACTTTTTACAAATACTATCTCATTTGATCCTAATAACAACCCTGTGAGATAGGTGCAATTATTCTCTCCATTTACAACTGAGGAAACTGAGGCAAACAGGTTAAGTGTCTAGTCCAGGGTCATATAGCTAGTAACTAAGTGAGGCTGGATTTGAACTCATCTTCCCAATTCCAGATCCAACATCCCACCCACTACACCAACTAGCCACCTCTTTGGGGTGGCCATCCTTGTATCCAAAATGCATTTAGCAACATATGCCTCGGGTATTTTTCACCAAAACAAACAAAAACCTCTAAGTATTGTTTGTTTATTTGTTTGTTTTTTTAATAACTGTTATAGAACACTAAAATGGAAATATTTCTGAAACATGGGTTTCTAGTTCTAGCTCTGCTGTGTCACTAGAAAGTTACTTCATTCCTAATCCACAAAATGGGGATACTACTGCAGCTCTCTGACCAACCACTACTATTACTGTTACTGATGATGATAAGTGTTCTCTTCCTCTTGAAATTATTTTGCATAACTTTGTATATGCTTTTTATGAATTTGTGCATATATTGTACTCTCCCTCTACCAGTAGGATGTAATCTCCTTGAGGTCAAGAATCTTCTTTTTTTATCACTGTGTCCCCAACAACAAGCACAGAATCTTGCACATAATTTAATAAATGTTTGTTGCATTGCTTAATTTAATTCAATGATTGCTGAGGGCATGTGCCACCCATCTATCTCACAAGGCTACTGTAAAGATAGAGGATAAATGCACATTTAATTTATTTCAGCAAATGCATACTAATGTGCATGGTAGCATAGAGTGGTAGTTACAGAGCAAACTTCAGTCAGTAAGACCTGGGTTCTGATCCTTTCTTGGACTGAGCGTGTCTCTGAAGCATGTCCCCGAAGCATGTCCCCAGGCAAGTCTATAAAATCTATAAATTGCAAAACCTGAGTTTCCTCTCCAAGAATTTCCTACATGCCATGTATGAAATCACAGGTACAGACCACCTGCAAGATTAGCTCTGTTCTGGAGCTCTGCCAATAAAAAAAGATGCCATCTCTGCCTTCAGGGAGCTTATGTTCTACTAAATAAACTGAAAGTGCTTTGTAAAGCAAAAAGAACAATTGAAATGAGGTGGTATTAGAACCAAAGGCCTACTATCCAGTAGAAGTTAGAAGGGGTCTCCTAAAGTGGCATCTGGTCCAACCACCTTATTTCACAGAAAGCTGAATTCCAGAAACAGGAAGTGACAGAACAGAGAATGGACTTCATTTCTTCTGATTCTCTGCCCAGTGTTCTCTTCTAGGCATATTACTGTATGTTGTTTTGGTTTGGGTTTTTGCTGTTATACAAGAAATGAAATTAAAATCCTCTTCTGAGGAAAGTAGATATGTCCTACCTTCCTTTTTTCAAATCTAAACCCAAATCTTAAAAGGATTAAAACCCTCCCTCACTTCCCTTTTCTGTTGTCTTTGAGATATAAAATTGTCCTGGGTACAGTTAACTGGAATGGGACCTTCTATCTGCCTTTTCGAAGTACTCTCATCTTTACCAGGCTCCTGACCTTCCTATTTCCTTCCCCTTCAGTCCATTTATCATTTGGCCCTGGGGGCTGAGATGATGTGGCGTCAGTCTGGAAAAGTAAACAGGGCTGGAATTCTTATAGGCATGCCTCATTTCTCGCCCAGTCACTGGGATAGGCCTGGGGAACCCAAGAGGAGGAGGCATTCTGGGATGGGTTTTAGGGTTTTATGGATTTTTTTTTGGTAGGGACTGAAGAATATCACTCTAACACCTAAGTGGAAAGATAGCTCACTCTCTGTAATGTGACTCAGAGATACACGGACACTCATTCCAGGCTCCCATTAACATTGCTAAGATGCCTTTGGTCCCCAGGCATTAATAGGAAACACCCCAAGTGCTGGAGTTGACAGGTGAAGGCTACAGAAAGAGTTGGCAGCTCCATCAATGCGGGAATGGGCTAAGGGAAGGGAGGAGCAGTCTGTTCTTTAAGAAGAAATTCACAGAAGGACAGACCAAGCAGAATTTTGTTGGTCTTGTTAGAATCATAAAGGGTCAGAGCTGAGAGAACTTTTAGAGATCATCTAGTCTCATCCTTGTCAGAAAATTGAGTCCAGGCAGTGACTCACCCAATGTCATTGACTAGAGGGGTACAGAAGGGAGTAGAACTTAGGAAAAACTTCCCAAAGGATATGCACATTGAGATAAGCCTTGAAAAACAGGGGTGGAGGGGGAGAATCTCAGATTCTTGAATCTTTAATTTGTCTTTTGACATCAATCCTAAGTGTTTTGGTGGCAGATGGTCAAGAATGCCTGAGTTTGAATTCTGACTCAGGTACTTACTAGCTGTATGACCCTTGTCATGTCACTTAACTTTCTTCAGCCTCAGTTTCATCTTCTGTAAAATGAAGATAATATAGCACCTGTCTCATAGGATTGTTGTGAGAATCAAATACAATCATATTTGCAAAGTGCTTTGCAAATCTTAAAGCTAATATGTAAAGATTAATTTATTATTATTAGTTTTCTTATTATTTTATAGCATTTCTAAGGGAAGGGGGAGGGTGTGGAAACTTTTCCCAAGAATTAGCTAAAGTACCCTGAGCTCCTAATACTATGTCCGTTGGTCTGGTCATGGAAGTTGGTTTGACCAGTCCTAGAGACAACCCACCTATAAGCAGACCACATCAGCAGGTCACTGGTCTAAGATGGAGCTTTCCTGCTGAGATTGTCCTCGAAGAAGGCTGTTAACTCTTCAAATCCTCCCTCTCCATCCCCTCTCCCCACCCTGGCCCAGAGAAGGAGATATTACACACACACACACAACACACACACACACACACACGCAGGCACACATCCCTTTCTTGGTGATCTACTCCAGTATCTCAAAATCTTTTTGCTAGAAAATATAGCCCAAATTCCAGCCTGGTTCTCTACTTCTACATTTGCTAGGAAATCAACCAAAGAACCTTTGGAAAGGGAGTGGGATTTGGACCCTTACACTCATTTGAATGTCTCTGGTTCCAGCCAGTTCCAGGCACTTAAGGGCCCTCCCTGCCTTAAGCCCTCCCCACCCCTCTTCTCTCCATTATGAAATATGAATGTGACAGCCAGAGCCCATACATTCTCCGGCAGAGAGGCATTAGGAATCTGGCCAGGTTTATCAGCTTTAATGAAAGGGCTCTGGGGATGAGGTGATCTCAGACACAGGCTATGCCTTTCATCGGCCCCTTATCTCTCCCCTGACCCCTTTCCAACGTTTTCTTCTCCTAGGAGAAAGTCATGGGGCACTGAAGTCCAGTGAGCAAAGAAATCCCTCTTGCTGCAATCAAGCTCACCCTCTCTATCTCTCTTTCCCCCGTTTAGTCCTCAACTCGCCGGGCTGGACTTTGCTGCACTAATTGCCACACAACCAACACCACTCTGTGGAGGAGGAATGCAGAAGGGGAGCCAGTGTGCAATGCCTGTGGACTCTATATGAAGCTTCATGGGGTGAGTTGGACCTTGGGACCAGAATTTGGTTATGGGTGAGTGTGAAAAGGGGGCCATCTAGCCAGAGAGGGAAGTATTCCATGCCCTGCTGATTCTTTGGGTCCTCTCTAACTACTCTCCAAAAGCAACACCCTCTTTAAGACCTTCCCACTCATTTCAGAAAGACTACATCACAACCTTCAGAGGAGTGAAAGGATGTCTCTGGTCCCTTAATAATCACAGATTATCAGGTCCAAACAGGACTTCAGACACCATTTACTCCAGCAGTTCTCAAAGTCTAGTCTGAAGTTCCCTGGGGTAAACACTATTTTTCCTATAATACGATGTTAATTGCCTTTTAAAATTTTCTTCCATTTTTTTTATCTACATATTTGTGTGAGGCCAGATTTTCTTCACATACTTTAACGAAAACAATATACTGAAACAGACTGAATGCAAAAACAGATGTGAGACTCCAGCTTCTATTAAGCTAGACATTGGAAAAAGAAATGTGTAAAACAATGCCACTTCTCACTAAATTTAATTTTTTTTAAAATACAGAGATTTTCATAAAAATAGGTTAATTTCTGTTAACATGCAGTAGGTTTATTGTGGGTTTTAATGAATATTTTAAACATTTGTCAGTTATCATAACATGATAAATATAGATAGATATGTCCGACATTGAAAAAAAAAAAGTTCTTTGGGGTTCTTAATATTTTTTCAAGAGTGGAAAGGATTCCTGAGACCAAAAAGTTTGAGAACTGCCAATCTAGTCCAACAAATGGGAAAATTGAGATCCAGATAGGAAAAAGGACTTCCACAAATCTGTGACTCATCAACAAATATTTGGCAGCCACATACTGGGTGCCCAGCTATGGGAGAAACATGTCAAAGAAAAGATATAATTTCATGATAAAACAAGAAAAAAATCTTTTAGAAAAATATATTAACATGTTGAAGGCAGGGACTTGATTTTGTATTTGTGTGCCCAGTGCTTAGCAGTGGGCCTGATACATGATATTTAATGATTTTTCATTGAAACAAGATATGGAATGTACCCTCAGGAAGCTAGCATTTTAAAATTCACATACTGAGCAGCCTCTGCTAAGACTCAGTGTGTATGACTGAATGCTGGACACCAGAGAACAGTGTAGCAAGAGAAGAGGGGGAGTGGTCAGAGAAGGCATCGTGGGGAAACGAGGGAGGGGGTAAATCCTGATTGTAAATGATGAAAAGAGGCCTGTGAGGACAGAGAAATTAAGAGGAACTCCCACAGCTGTGGAAAGGACACATGCTCAAGCTTCAGGTTTCTCCCAGTGCTAGACTAGATAATGACAATGGGCTAGGACTAAAGAGCTGACCTTAGGGAAGGAAGCCCCCATGGGGGCTAAAAGCAGAATGGTAGGGACCTCAAAACAAAATAGAATTCATCTGATCCCCAAAATCCTCTCTTCTTCCTCACTTCCCTTTTTTTTTTGGTGAGGCAATTGGGGTTAAGTAATTTGCCCACAGTCACACAGCTAGTGTTATGTGTCTGAGGTCAAATTTGAACTCAGGTCCTCCTGACTCCAGGGCCAGCCCTCTATCCACTGCACCACCTAGCTGTCCCTTGCCTTTACTTTTGAGGGTACTACTATCCTCCCAGTCACCTAGGTTCACAGCCTCGACATCATCCTCAACTCCTCACTCTTTCTCACCCCCCCTTATAAATTATCAGCTTGCCATTTCTCCCTTTGTAACATTTCTCACACATGCCCCCCTCTTCTTCCACTGACACTGCCCACTGCCTTGACTCAGGTCCTCATCTTCTCATATCTAGACTATTGAAACAGCCAGCTCCTTGGTCTCCCTGCCTCAAGTCTCTCCAGTCCAATCCATTTTCCACTCAGCTGTCAAGCTGATCTTCCTAAAGTACAAATTTGACCATGCTGCCACCCTCCATTCAATAAACTCTAATGGCTCCCTATCACCTCCAAGATCAAATATAATTTCCCTCTCTGACTTTTAAAGCCAAGTCTGGCTCCTTCCTACCTTTCCAAAGTCTTATCTCTTCTTTCCCATACTCTTCAGTGCAGAGACACTGATCTCCCTGTTCCTCAAACACAACACTTTGTCTCCTGACTCTAGACATTTTTGTTGGCTATCCCTAATGCCTGAAAATATCTCCCATCTCATCTCTGCCTTCTAACCTCCCTGGCTTCCTTCATGTCTCACCTAAAGTCTCTTCTTTGACAAGAAACCTTTCGCAGACCTCCTTAATCTTAGTGTCTTTCCTCCAAGATTACCCCCCTCCCAATTTATCCGATGTCTTTTTTTGTAAAGAGTTGTTTGTATACTGTCTTTCCCATTACATCGTGAGCTGCTTGAGAAGAGGAACTGGGTGTTGTTGTTGTTGTTGTTGTTGTTGTTGTTGTTGTTGTTGTTGTTTTACCTTTCCCTGTACCCAAAAAGTACTTAGCACAGTACTCAATAAACTCTTATTGTTGACTGTTATTGATGCCTCTGTGTTCCTGTTAAGGTACCTCGTCCCCTTGCTATGAAAAAGGAGAGCATCCAGACACGGAAACGGAAGCCCAAAAACATCGCCAAAGCCAAGAGCTCCACAGGTACCCAATGCCTTGAGCCACCAATCAACGGAGTTAGGATGGGCCATCTCCAATACTGCAGGGAGGAAGCTTCTTTCACTGTTTGGGGTGGGGGTAGGGCGAAGTACCTAAAGGTGAGAATAGGCTCAGTGTTCAGAAGAGAGGCTCAGCTCCAGGCCAAATCTCTTATGCCTTATTCCACATTAGTGTTCTTTAGAGAGTGTGTTTTTCCAAGCTGGGAGGGACTTCTGGTTAGTATGTGACTGCGTTCCCAAAGTGATGGAAGTAGCATCAAGAGCCATGATCCAAAACATTTCCAGACCTGCCTAAAATCCACCATTAGAGTTTCATTATTTATTTATTTATTTTTGGAACAACGTTTTTCTCTTAAAATGCACATACCCCCGGGAAAGGTAACCCACTTAATCTCCAAAACTTCAGTAGAAATGAGGTTTTTCAGAATCCAAAACCAGATACAGGCTCTTGGGACAAACAGGATTAAAGCCAGAAAAGATTCCAAAAGGAGAAAGTGGAGGGGCCCCAGAGAAAAGTGTCACAATCCTGTCTTGGAACAGCCGAAGTAGAAAAGGTGGAGAAAGAATGAGTCGAGGTAGAGAGGAGTTGGACAAGGCTTTTGCATTGTGCAAGGACCTGTAATCTAGTGCTCAGAGAGAGTTGCATGAAAGTTGAAAGTCTAATAGAAAAAATACAGGATTTAATATGACCTTGGGCAAGTCACTTAGTCTCTCCATGGCCCAGTTTATCCTAGAGGAAGAAAAATTGCTAGTTGGACCTTAGATCCATGGGCCTCATATAAATACGTTCTCAGATACGTATCTTTAGGAAATTTATGATTATCTCTCTCCAGGGTCAACAGCCTCAGCCACAAATTCCCCATCTTCCATCACCAACTCCGACAGCACTGCCACTTTAAAGTCTGAGCCAAACCTGGCATCCCCTCAGTACCCAGGGCAGACCATCCTTTCTCAGGTAAGAACAGGAGGGGATAAAGGGTTCAGGGAGACTAAGCCAGAACAGTCAGGGGGTAAAAACTCTCATAGTGCAGTCAGTTCAGGGGATCTAGGCAGGAGTCCCCAAGAGCTCTCTCTGAAGTGAGGTATAGGGGAAGAGTAAGGGTAGCTTTCACAAGGAGAGGGCACAGGGAGGACCTCTCCAACATGGGCTCTTGGAGGGTCATACTTATTTAGAAGTAGGCAAAAGGAATTACCTAATAACCCTCTTCAACCACAGGTTGGCTAGTCCAGTATGGGCATAAACTTGAATTAAGCACAGTGCTTTCTGCACCTCTCCAGCCTCAAACCCAGACCACAGACCAAGCCATATTCCCCCTCATCCTAATTTTTTCCTAGGGGTGTGGCAGTGGCAGGAGACAGGGTGAGGATGGAGTACAAAGTGGACACATTTCTGAACTCATCTCTGTTAATCATATGTGGCTTATCCACAGATTTCTCTCCCACCCACCCCCTTTCAAAGGGGACCCCAATGCTAATTCACTGTCATGATTTTGTGTTCCTGTGCTCTTCTCCCTCTAGTTTTCACCTTTCCAGATTTAAAATCTCAACTCTTAGTTTGTCCCCACCATGGCCCTGTCCTGCTTCACCCAGTTGTAAAACTCTGGAACCTTCACCATAAGTAGTAGCAGATCCATGTATGATGGAACCATCAGCCCAAAGGAAGGCAGGACTCTACCTACCCATTAAGACTGAGTCATAGAGGATAACCAGGCCTTTGCTTGATCCAACCTTTGGGGCATATGTCAAAGAGAGTGTAGGCCTATTCCCAAAATAATGTACCAGGACCTCCCATGCACACTTCTTATCCCCACAGCAGGGTCCTAGCCCAGCAGAAGACCCCTTGGGTCCCAACCACTCGGAGTTCAAGTTCGAGCCTGAGGATTATACTTTCCCATCCTCTGTGACTTCCCAGTCAGGACTCAGCGTGTCTCTCCGCCAGGACTCATGGTGTGCCCTGGCATTGGCTTAAATCCCGGGGCTCCTGGGAAACATCCTTTTTGGACCAATCTACCTACCTGTCCCTCTGATGGATGACAGAGAGGCCGGATGACAGCCAATGACCTGACAATTTGCTTACACACCAGACCGGTGAGAGACTGAGAGATCCTGGAGATACTTGGCTGATTTCTGCCTTCACCACCCACCCTGCTTGGTTCTATTCAATTTTAACTCAGCAGGAACAAATTGGACATACCTCCTGGGAGCAGGAGGGAGAGGTTTGTTTGAGAAGACCCCATGCTGTCCCTCAATGCTGGCACAAAAGTCCCTAAATCATATGTTTATTCCCAATGATTTCTTCCTCCTCTGACTACATGGAGTGCAATTTGTCCCACTTCTCAATAAAGACTGATTATGTGGCACCACCTAATTTAATGTTTTTGTGAACAGAGTAGCCATCAGTTCATCTAAAAACACAACCTGTTACTTTAAACCTTTACTGTATTATCTTGAAAACAATCATCTCTGGAGTGTTAGCTTCTGAAGCATGTGTATGCTCACCCTGAAAAGTCACTGGAGATGCAGGCGTTGCTCTTCCTACTTCCTACTTCCAAAGGATTTTTATAAAAATGATGAGTGACACAGCCAAACATGCCTAAAGAATTTGGAGAAATAAAAACTTTGAAATCCAGTCTTCTTTGCATCATTGAGCCACGGGAATTTTCCGGGACAGTTTCCATCCTTCAGTGCTTCCACAATAAAGTGTTCATTCAGCTTTCCTTTTCATTCTACCCGACACATTCAGAAATCATTCCCCAAACAGATCTGGTTGTTTCAGTGCAAATGAGCTGGAGTCTGGTTGTGAGGAATAGACATAGGGAGAGAAGCATTTTTCCAGGCCAGGGTTTTCCTTGAGGAGGAACCAGAGAACAATGAGACTAATTCTTCTCTGGTGCCATGCAAGGTTACACTTGACATCAGGGTGTAGTAGGCAAAGGGACTATTACTAATGAAGAAACAAAAATGAAAGTGGCTGGAATGTCAACGGTGGAGTTGGAATTCAGGTGCAGTTGAAAGATAAAGAACTTGGACGATGGGGAGTAAAGATAAGGTGGAGGGAGAAATAACAAGATTTGGTGCTGCACATGGCTTTTTCCATCTCTCTCTCTAAGCTTTGTGTCTGCTAATTCCCAAAATGGATTCCTCCTAATTGTGTCTTCAGAGTGAATTTCATCTCCTTCACTACAACAAATTTAGTTCAATTCAATAAACATTTATGGAGCATTAAAAAATGTAAAGGACATCGTGTAGAATGTAGGGTGCAATAATAACAGCTAACATTTATCTAATGCTTTAAGGTTTTTAAATGACTTCATACATATTAACTTATTCTTCACAACAACCTTGTGAAGTAGGTCCTATTATCATCCCCATTTTTCAGATGAGAAAACTGAGACTAAGTCAGAGCCATACAGCTAGTAAGTGTCTGGAACAGGATTTGAATCCAGGTGTTCTTGATTCTAACTCCAGTGCCCCATCTGCTAGACCACCTAGAAAATATTTTTTAAAGAGTCCCTGACCTTAGATGGCCCTGAGAGGCAGTAAAGGGAAAGCACTGTCCTAGGGAGTCAGGAGACTAGCGTCAGCTCTGTTACCTGCCAACTCTAGACCTCATTCATCTGTAACATGAGGGAGATGTACTCTCTCTCTCTCATTCCTTCCAGCTTTAATAGTCTACAAGTTAAGTGGAGATTTGGCAGTTACAGAGTTAATCTAATTTGTTTAATATGTTCCTTTCGTCTTCTTCTAGGGATGTGCTGGTAAATGTTTAACAATTAGTTCTCCAGAGGGGGGAAAATGTTCACATGATATATTTTTAATAGTATTTTAATTTTTTTCCAATTACATGTAAAGACAATTTTTAACATGAATTTTTTTAAAATTTTGAATTCCAAATTTTTCTTCCTCCCCCTCTCCCTCCTTCCTCTCCCCCTCCCCACCTCACTCCTTAAAATGGTAAGCAATTTTACATAAGTAATCATGTAAAACATTTCCATATTAGTTATCACATGATACATTTTAAGGTTTAATCTGCATTATTCATATATTTTAAGTCTCAACAATCAAGAAAACAACAAATGTAGCCATAATTTGCAGCTTTTACTGATTTCTGAGGTATCCACATTCACAATGAAAATTTAATATTTGATTACAGCATGTATCCCTTCCCTTCATCCCATACAAAGTCTACCCAACCTCTAAGAATATTCAGCTCAGGTTCTGCTTATGAGCATTCTTCCCTGTCCAGTATTAGTCACACTGAGCTCACCATCTCTGGATTCCTAAGGTACTTAATGACCAGTTCTATAAAATGAGGCAGTCAAACTAAATGACCTCTAAGGTCTCTTCCAGCTCTAAATCTACGTCTTCTATTCCTGTCTCCTTTTCAGAATCCATTGCCTTACAATTACAGTTAATTCTTCCACATCTCAGGTGCTAGGGGCACAGTACCTCCAGGATCTGGAAAATCCATGTAAAATATTTTAGGCCTCCCTTTACCAGAATTGTTATGGTATTAAAAGATAAAAGTATGTTGATATTAAGCAATACTATCCATATATTTTCTGCATTTCTGAGTTTCTAAGATTTTTCCATGTTGTCTACTGGCCATCCTGTGTCATCTGTAGTTTCTTCAAACTCTCCAAAATTTCCCATTTAATTATGCCAACCCATGATATATCAAAACCAAACCAAAAAGGGGAAAGTCATGATGTGCAAGGGATTTATGTATGGTACTCAGTAATTTAAGACTGACTTGTCAGTATAGATAACCAATGCATGTATTTCAGGTTATTCAGTGATAAAAATATGTCCCAGTCCCACAACAACTATTGCTATTACTCCCATTTATTCCAGTTTGGAGGCCAAGAGGCAGCCTGGTATAGGAGCACTTCACAAGCAGCCAAGATATGAGTCTTCTAGTCTAGTCCCTGTCATGTATTCACTATGGCACCTTGGGCAAGTCACTTGAATTTTAGGTCTTTGTCTTCCTATCTGTAACATGATGATAATAAATCTACTCTGTCTTCCTCACTCGTATAATAAAAGGGCCAAAGCCCATAGTACATGTGGAAGTACTTTGGAAAGTATAAAGTATTCCATAAAATGAAGAATTGTTATTACAGCATCATCTCCAATATCTGGAACCCTGGAGCAGCATATTCTAGAACAGTGAGCTTTCTAGATAACTTACAGATAGTTGATGGTTGGGGAGAGGGTGTTTTGTTCTGCTTTGCTTTGTTTTGTTTTTTAACTTTGGAACACAGATCCTGAGGGCTTTGTGCAGCTTGCAACACTCCTGAGTGTGACCCAAACCAGACTAAAATGTAATTGGGCAATATTTAACAAAATAAATAGAAATACAAGAAAACAAAACATTTTAACATTAAATTTTAAAACCATCAGTATGCTGCCCACAGGGATCATTATGTGGGAGCTAGTAGCCCCTATTTCTATTTCAGTTTGACATCAATGATCTACTTTAGCCCTTCATCTCCCATCCCCATTTCATGAATGAGTAAACTGAGAACTTAAGAAGGCAAGTGACTTGCTAAAGGTCGCAAAGTAAAGGTAAAGCCAAGAATTAAACCCAAACCTTCAGATTCCAAGTCCAGAGCTCTTTGCACAGTTGGAATAGATGTTTTTTCTAAGATGTCACCAACATTTTCTTGACTTCTTAACCAAATGACATTTTCTTGATGACTCAGGGTTATCCTTATAAATATGAATTATTACACTGTGTGATAATGCCCTCACAGTCTATTAATGTATGCAAACTGCTTTCCCTGACACTCAATGTTTTTTGTCTGCTGTAGCTTTTTAGCTCTTCTGCCTGCTTTTTATACTTTTTCTGTCTCCTCTCTTTCCATTTTTCATTGTTACTGCCTATAACAGCTTCTTTCCTCCTTCTGATTTCTTGCTTCTAATCTCTGAGGGCAGGTTAACCAGCTAGCCAAGTTCATTGTTTTTTTTTTAAAGCATATGAAGTAAGAATAAATCACTTAGTATATCTGTGAAGTAAAAGAGAGGGAGGGTTTTCTGTGATTAAAGGTTTAGTGCATGAGCTTTGTGCATCTGTTTTGGCTCCTTAGATGTATTTTCGATTTTAGCCGAATTCCTACTGGGCAAGGCGTTCCTGTTTGATCATGAAACCATAGAATGTTTGAGTTGGAAGGAATTTAGAGGAAATCTAGTCCAAACCTCTCATTGTATTAATGAAGATGTTTAGGTGCAGTGACTGTGGGATGGTGGGATGGTGGGATCAAGGTCCCATAGCTAGTAAGTGGCAGAACCAGGATTTGAATCTCGATCCTCTGGCCCCAAATTCAGCTCTTGTTCTCTTCCTAAAGTGCAGGTCAGACCATCTCATTCCCCTTCCCCCCACACACATACACTCAATAAGCTCCAGTGACTTCCCATCACCTTCAGGATCAAATATGGAACCCTTTGGCCTCGAAGTCCTTAATAATCTGACCTCTCTCCCCACCATTCCTAATCTTCTTCTTACACCTTGCCTTTTGCTCCCCAAGTACTCTGTGATCCAATGATACTGACTTCTTTGCTCTTCCTTGAACATGACACTCCAATCTCCCAACTCCAGGTATTTTCACAGGCTGAAATGTTCGGCCTTCTCATGCCTACCTCTTGGCTTCCCTGATTTTCTTTCAGCTCAGCTAAAATGCCATCTTCTACAAGAAGCCCCCTTAATTCTAGTGCCTTTCCTCTGTTTCTTATCTCCAATGTATCCTGTATATAATTTATTCGTACATGGTTGCTTGCATATTGCCTCCCCTCCCCCCATTAGGCTCTAGTGCAGGTACTGTCTTTTGCCTTTCTTTGTATCCTCAAAACTAGCAGTACCTGACATATATTAGCTGCTTGATAAATGTTTAGTGACTGACAGACCCAGTTAAAGGAAAAGCTTTGTTGGTTTAGGCAAGGACAGAAAGTTTTACTCTTATTTTCCCTCTTCTCCTCAGTAAGAACCACCAAAGGGAAGATTTCCCATGATTTGGCGAGATAGAGAAAGTAGGCTCAGTTATCACTGAGTTATCACTGTCATTTGGTTAAATAATATTGGGGCTTGGAGGCAGCTAGGTGATACAATGGCTAGAGCACTGGCCCTAGAGTCAAAGGGACCTGAGTTCAAATCCAGATTCAGACACTTGATACTTACTAGCTGTATGACCCTGGGCAAGTCACCTAACCCCCATTGCTTTGCCAAAAATAAAATAAACAATATTGGGGCTCATCTGTATCAAAAAGTGCCCTAGCTCTTTTTTATTGGCTGACAGATAATCAGGAATGCAGTTCCTTCTAAGATGTGAATAAAAAGGCTCACAAATAAAATTCAACAAATATTTTTAAGCACCTACTTTAAACAGGGCTTTATGCCAAGGGCTTTGTTTCTGTTTCTTTTACACATTTATCATATATCATTTTATACTGCAGTTGTATTCTTCTATTAAACTATAAGCTCCATGAGGGCAGGGATTATGGTCCCTTTAAGACTAAAGAAGACACCGTCCCTGCTCTCTTGGAATTTATAATCTAGATATGTGTTATCACTCTCTTGTCCTCTATTGCCACCATGATAAAATATAAACTCCTCAGTCTGATATTTAGTCCTCT